AAATATAAACATCCATTACTGGGATACAAATATTCATGCTCATTGCATAAATGAATGCCTCTAGCGTCACTCGAACCCGTGACCGCTGGCACAGCAAGTAGGGTCACTACAAACTGAGCCAAACGTATCGTCAATATCTATACATATAATAAAATTCTAACTAAGTCCAATCTGTACATTAAATATTTTTTGGGAAATCTAATTGAAATAGACATTATTATCGATACAGAGTCCGAATCTATAGTTTTTAGAATCTTTGTCTGTCTGTCTTTTTATCTGTCTGTTACCGCATCACGAGAAAACTACTGGACAGATTTTGATGAAATTTGGTATGATGATAGCTGGTTATCCGGGTCAACATATAGGATACTTTTTACCGCGGGAAAATATCTAATTTCTGCGAAAAAATACAAAAACTGCATTGTAAGAGTATACTAATATGTAAAACCTAAGAATTAGGTTTTTGGTCATCTGAACGCGGGCGGAGCTACGGCAATGCTAGTATAGTATATAGGTAGTAGTAAAATACAAAGCCACGGTCAATACCTAGTGTAGGAGAGCCCTTTTTTCTAAGGAGTTATATAAACATTTCGAGCTTATTTCCCAAGAGTGCGATATGAACGCTTTCCTAAAAATATTTTTTATACTTTATTATTATAAATCTATATTAGCGACATAATACTTATCACACCTCTTTCTAAATATCATAGAGAAATTCGATGTTTCTGTTTGTGCGTTTCGTTCTTTTAAAGAATGCCATTTTTGTTTGGTTTTATACTAATCTAAATAATCTGACAGTAAATGAATCCTAATACTTATTGTGTTCAGTTATTATTATTATTTGCAAAATTTAAAACTTTTTATTACAATATCTACAAAAATAATGCGAAAGTTTGTTTGAGTTTATGTTTATTATTCGTTCACGCTTAAACATCTAAAGCGATTTGAATGAAATTCGGTACACTGATTAACTATAAGCTGGAATAACATAGGCGTTCGTTTTCGAATGTTTATTATTCATTTAATTACGATGGGACAATAACTTGACTTGTGAAAGATTATGTAGACAATAAAAATTAACTACTATGCATGGCCCAACTTGAGACTCGAACCCAGGACCTCTGTATTCAGTCGTAGATAGGCTAGCCACTAGAAGTATTACTTCTAACTCCTAAAGCAATAAACAGTGTAGGTATATCGGATCGTACATGTCTCTGTAACATCCAATGGTCCTGACTAAATATTTAAGATATTATATATGTCCTTTATTTGCTCATTTTCCTTAAAATTAGTAGGTTTAAATATAAAAAAAACTAGGTACTAAATGGAATTTATTACTAAAATAAGTCAAATTTATTAGCCTAAAATTTCACTGAACTGGTGGTTTATTTGATTAATAAAAAAAGTTTAAAATGGGTTCAAAATTCCACGAACAATTATATCCATAATTCGTATAAAAATTTTAGTACAGCGATAAATAATGAATTAACAACTAAATACTTAACGACTTCAAAAATAACGATAACTTTATTTATAGTAAAGCGGTGGTAGTCCAGTGGTAACGTGTTCGCTTAGGAAACCGAATGAAGCGGGTCAAATCCCGGGTTTTGCACCTTTGATATTTTCATATGCGAATCATTTTCAACGTGATTTACACTTAACGATGAAAGAAAACATCGTGAAGAAACCTGTATGTCTGAGAGAACCTAGCAAGTTTTTGAAAGACTTGAGCAGTCCGCCAACCCGCTTGGCCAGTGTGGTGGATTATGGCCTGATACCCCTCGTATTGTAGGGAAGCCCACCCCCAGCAGTGGGACGTTAAAAAGGGCTGAATACAAACAATACAAGGGAGTTAGCGTTATTTTTTTTCTGGGAATTGTTTATCTTTCGTGGCCAGATTTCGAAATGGCCGAATATATCATGAATTGATTAATTTTATATCTTATCTGGCTACGCCGTATCGTTTAAATTTAATTAAAATTGTTCCGATTATACTTTTTCAAATCCTTTCACCAATTCTTATCTGTCAGAGAATGCTCATATCAATAAGATTGCCTTTTCATACGTATTGTTGATTTTCTTTATCTTTTGTTATTTACCGTTTCTATGTAACCTTCTTTCTGTAAGCAATAAAGTATTTATATATCTTTATTAATCTATCTGATACAGTTGTAAAATATTTTAAATCACAACGTTGATATATATCTATATATATATATATATATATATATATATATATATATATATTTAAATACAATTTTTGTTTTTCTTTGCTGTATTGGCGTTATTTTTTTTAATTTATAAACTGTAAGACATCTGACACGTACGACTTCTTTTCGTTCCTGAGATTAGCGCATTCAAATAAACAAATAAACAAACAAAAAAACAAACTCTTTATATTAGTATAGATACCAGAAAATTAATATTAAAGCGAAAGCGAAGCGATATTGTAGGACAGAAACGTAGTTTTTTTATTTAATTAATGAGACGCAAGCATCACAGTAACATAACCGTTTTAGGTTCGATTCTCGATCATTAAAAATATTTAGTAACCTATTAAATCAATTTTAATTGTAAATTATATACTTTATATATAACATTCGAAATATTAGATATTATCAAGTCAATCAGGTTCAAGAGGTTTAAGAGTGACACTGGATCCCTAAAAATCATTAAATTGAATACGCTACCCAAAAATCATCACATTCCATATAAATATAAATGTAAAGCTTCAAATTACCAAACGGTTGTTAGTAAAACAGCATAGCTTTCAACATATCTCAGTTGGAGAGCTTTAATAACTCGGTTACGCAATTTCCGCGGCGGAAATGAGTGTCATAGACCGTTTCAAGGGTTTAACCCTTGAAAAAGGTATATTTTTATTGTATATATGGTTGATGTGAATAAACTTTTAGGTTAGGTATATGAGAGGCGCTATTTAATGAGATTTGAAAGGGATGTGAAAGTGGGATGAAACCTACTAATGAATGAACGATGTTTGAGCTGATTTCATATACAGTTTTTAAAAACTTTGAATATTAAGCTTATTTTATTCAAGATACTCGATAGTACAGGTATGAATTGAGAGTCCCCCCCAACGTGCGTTCATCTTGTCGTGGTGGGGGGGCTCAGTAGTGTACTCGCGAAGCCAAGAAACGCACAGGGAGGTGGCCCGTTTTGGTGGGCGGTGGGAGGCGGCCTTCTTCGGAGGGCGGTGTACCATGCGGGTTGCTCCTGGTACTTCTCTGATAGCAGAGTGGACCGTGGAGCAACCCCATGGTTGTTGTGGTCTGCTTCGGCAGACCTGCCGTCGGGGCGTCGTAGTTGAATGCGTAAGCGATCCTGCGACGCCCCATTAAGACGGGGGAAGGTTTTGTTGGGTTTTAGTGGGTAGTACTGGCTTCGCCGGTGAGTCCCACACTTCGTGCGTAAATGCATTTCCCAACGTTAAAAAAAAAAAAGGTATGAATTGAGAGTAGATACCGTGGAGTAGTTCTATTGAACATGGTTGATCTGTTTTAATGTTTTTAATTTATTATTTAACGAGCGACTCATCCTCGCTTCGCTTTGAGCTCTGAGTTCATCTCTAGATAAAAACAAATCTATCCCACGGGAATCGTACATTTTTCCGATATAAAAAGTAATCTATGTACTATTCCAGACTATAATCTATTTCTGTGACAAATTTCATCCAGGTCCTTTCAGTTGTTCTGGCGTGAAAGAGTAACAAACATCCATTCATACATAATCCTTATAAATTTTAATAAATATATATATATATATATATATATATATATATATATATATATATATATATATATATATCAAGTGTAATTTTTGTTCTAAGTGGTAGTGAAGTGATAACGTCATATAAACAGTGAAACACTTTGATTTCGAAAGTGCATCTAGTATCAAGCAACTTGTTGTGTGGACAACTTGTTTGGTGGCGTCTTGAACTTGCATATACGAGATGACTTACGAGTATCTCCATAAGATCCATGAAAAAGCAATAGAAACTGAAACACCCGTATTTTATTGTGCGATTTATATCAATAGACCACTTGACATTGACAAACAAATCTTGTTAAGAGATTTGATTGCCATTAATCAAAAAAAGTGACGGTAAAAAAAATTACAAGCAAAGCCACCGGCAAATGTACGAGTATATCATAGTATTATTTAAATCATTATATTTTGTCTAAGATTCTTTTTTTGAGTTTTAATTAACATTTGTTAAATTCACACTTTGTACTTATTTAAAATCTTATTTGTGGTACCTTTTTCGTACCGTCAACCGTCAACAAAAAAGTCATTTCCGTCACTGTACTTCCTCTTTTAAGGGTTGGTTTAGAAAAATAATTGTCTGTTTTCAAGCTAAGAGATTTATTAGTACTTGCAGCAATTTCTTTAAGTTCAATAATTAATACTATTTTGACGACATGTTTGGATAAGTAATAAAAAAATTGGAAAAGTAGAAAATAAGATTCGTAGTGACTTGCAATATATTTGAATGCCTATGAGAACTATACACAATAATGCAGCCGGGGACAAAGGAAACGCACGTACTTCGTTGACCGTTTATTCCACAATGAGAGTACAAATTAATTACACCTACAATGTAATCCACATAAACAAATCTACCCTCATACATCACACCTCTCTACTTAAATTACAACTAAAAATAATTCTAAGTACATCTAGAGAATACATATAAATCACAAGAAGAAATACTTAAATAATAGACACAATATTCTAATTTCTTTAACGTTTTAGATAACCGACCAAGAACTTCTAATATTTTAAATATCCATTTAATTTGCCTATATACATACATATTAAATAAACTAAATTACCTCTAAATAAAAATTTAGGTGATGCTAATTCTTATTAACTCAATAACAAAAAACATTTGATAACTCAACATTATCTATACATACATATATAATATATATATTTTCCAACTTAGGATACAATATTTTGATATATGTACATTCGACCTAGGAATCTATTCCATATCTCAAAACCAGTTTTCTTTGGCGCTTGGGACGGTCCAGCGGTGACGGAGGCGAGCAACTACTTGAGGGACAAGAATCAATAAGTATAGGATCCTCTGCCCGTTTATCAGTCATACTCTTATCCTCCTCCCTACAAATTCGACTTCCTGCACTTTCAGTATTTAATTCTAAGCTCTCTTTCTCATCTGGCTGCGCGACGACCTCCTTATCACTTGCTGAGCTCATCGCGACCGAATAACGGGATTTGCGCTTTATTTGATCAATATGTCTGTGAAACCTTTGACCGTTACCGCTTTCTACAATGTACCTTTGTGAACCCTCTCTACCTATCACCGTACCGTCTAGCCATTTATCTTTACCGCCATAAGCCCCCTAGCCATAACTTGGTCTCCTAATTGCAAATCGCGCGGCACGCCGCCTGCGTATTGCAATTGGCGTGCTTGCGCATCCCGCACACTGTCCTCACGGGCACGCTCACCTCTCAGGAGATCTAACCGAGAACGGAGCGCGCGCCGTTGAAGCAACATGGAAGGGCTTTCGCCGGTACTACTATGGACGCTATTTCGATATGACAAAAGAAAAGTTTGCAGTGCAGCGTCTACATCGATTGACTCCCGCATGGCCTTTTTAATTACTCGCTTGCATAGCTTCACTGCGTTTTCCGCAGCCCCATTTGATTGCCGGTGATAAACCGGTGAAAACGATTGACGGACACCATTCTTTATTAGAAATCCCTGAACTCAAGACTCGTAAAAAGGGGGCCCCTCGGTCCGACACGATCTCGGTCGGTAAGCCGAAACGTGCAAAAGTTGCCCTTATAGTTTTTATTACCGATGTAGCGTTCGTTCGAGCCATTTCAAATATTTCCAGCCATTTTGTACTGGAATCTATTAATATTAAGAACGTTTTACCACCTAAAGGACCTAGAAAATCTAAATGAATCCTACTCCAAGGACGCGAATCGTAAGTCCAAGGACTTGGGGGAGCACGTGGAGGAGCCTGGGCCTCCGCCGCGCACGTGTCGCATTGCCCTCATACGGCTTCGACGTCAACATCTATGTTCGGCCACCATACATAACTCCTCGCTATACCTTTAGTTTTGACAATGCCCATGTGACTTGCATGAAGCTGCTTCAATACTATACTACGTAATCCTGCTGGTACGATAACCCTATAGCCCCCACATTAAAACATCCTCGATCTATATATATTTCGTTACGCTTACTATAGTATGGCTTGTATTCTTTCCCCCTCTGGACAGGTTAAAGGCCATCCAGAATGAACGTATAAAATTATTTTACTTAGTAATGTGTCCCTACTAGTAGCCGTTCTTATATCATCATTCGTTAACGGGCATAAACGTCTCTACAAAATTTAAATACGTATTTTCTTTAATCACGTGATCCGTGGCACTAGTCTGGGGCAGTCTAGATAATGCATCCGCACAATTTTTCTGTGACGAGACGTACTCTATCGCATAATTATATCCGATAACAAACGGCCCCCTCTGCAACCGCGACGCCGCCATAATTGGAATTCCTGCTTTAGTACCAAAAATATATGTTTAGTGGTTTATGATCTGTTCTTAATGTAAAACGCCGACCGTAAAGATATTGATGAAACTTTCTAATTCCATATATTATTCCTAGAGCTTCCCTATCTATCTGTGAATACGCCCGTTCAGCTGCCGTTTAATGAGCGCGAAGCATAAGCTATCGGCCGTTCGCCCTCGGGAGTACTGTGTGAGATGACGGCGCCTACCCCTACGCTGCTCGCGTCTGCCGTCAGTATTAGCGGCAAGTCGCTCGAGTAATGCACCAATACTTCGCTCGAACTTAATTTTTCTTTAATTATACGGAAAGCCCTTTTACATTCTTCACTCCATATGAATTTAACATTAGCCCGAAGTAAATTGTATAGCGGTGCTAAGATAGTACTTACGTTTTTAATAAATTTAGCGTAATACATGACCATACCTATGAAAGATCTCAGCTCAGATACCGTCGTGGGTGCGGGAGTGTTAACAATCGCCTTAACCTTTTCCGGATTAGTATGTATACCACGTTTGTTAATAACATGCCCTAGGTAAGAGATCGATTCCTGAAAAACTCACATTTTTCTTTCTTTACTTTTAAGCCACTAATTTTCAAACGTTCAAATACTTTATGTAAATTCTTTATAATGTTCTAGATTATTCCGTCCAGTAATTATAATATCATCCAAAAATACTCCCACCATATGGTAAATCGGCAAATAATTGCTCTAAAAACGCTTTTGAAAAATACCTGGGCTAGACGATAGGCCGAATACTAAACGATTTAAACATAAAAAGTCCTTTGTGCGTATTAATTACCGTATATTTCTTACTCTCGTCTAATTCAATCTGTGCGTAGGCCTGTGACAGGTCTATTTTAGTGAACAGCTCGCCTCCATGTAACCGTGCAGAGCAAGTCTTCCGTGCGAGGTAGCGGGTAACGGTCAATCTCAATTACCTTATTGAGAGTTAATTTGTAATCAGCACAAATCCGTACATTACCGGCTTTCTTCATAACTGGCACTATCGGTGTGGCCCAGTCAGAGCGCTCAACGGGTGTGAGGATGCCATCGCGCACCATCTGGTCAAGCGCGCGCTCCACCGGCCCGCGCAGAGCGTACGCCAGGGGACGCGCACGCATGAACACCGGCCGCGCTCCCTCCCGTATGTGAATGCTCGCCGCGCCGCCGGTGAACCGTCCCAGGCCCTCCGCAAATACTTCACAATATTTGGAACTGAAATCATTGAAATTAAAATTATTATCGGTTATATAATTCATTGTTTCAACTTTGAGTTTAGGCAATTTTATGTTTAATTCCAATAACCATTGTCTACCCAATAAAGCAGACTTAGCATCGCGCACAACGTACAGGTCTAAATATTTTTCGTATCTAACTAGAGGTCTAATGACCCCCACAGGGCGCACTATCTCCCCCGTATAATATTTTAAAATTAATCTACACTCTTCTAATTTTAAATCATATAAATATTTTTTATAAAATTCATGACTTATGCATGACACTGCACTACCCGTATCACATTCCATCGAGATAGCTTTATTTTGAACATCTAATGTCACCATGAATGGTTTACAAAGTTCTAAGGCTAATTGGTTAAGTTCAACTACTATTACCTCGTCACTCTCTTCGCTGTCTGAAGTCGTCGCCGCTATCGTCGTACTCCCCGTCTCGATGTTATAAGCTCCCTTCACATTAGGACAGACGCGCTGCAGATGACCTTGTTGCTTGCACGCTCTGCACACATAGCGCGCAAATCTGCATGGTACCCTAACGTGCTGGCCACCACAAGCGCGACAGCGCGTCCCGACGGCCGCCTGGTGCCGCGATGTCTCCGCTGCCGCCGCCGACCGCCCGCGCCGGCGGCGTACCGCCCGGCCCGTGGCCGACGATCTCCCCGCCGCCGCTACTGCGCCTGACACACCGTCGTCACCGCCGGTACTCCACCCGGCCCCCTCAGCATGGCTCTCCACTACCGCTGCATCCTTTTCAGCCGCCTCCATACTAACCGCCAGGCGATACGCTTTCGAGAAATCAAGGTCATCCTCTTGAAATAGCCGTTGCCGTATCGCTTCACACTGTATTCCGCAAACAAATTGATCTCTAAGGCTTTCTTGCAACCACGCCCCGAACTCACATGTTTTTAGAAAGTTTTTTTAACACAGCGATATATTCCGCCACTGTTTCACTGCTCATTTGCTTCCTATGTCGAATTTAAATCGTTCCGCCAAAATACTCGGCTTGGGTTGTAAATGTTTTTCTAGAACATTCGTTAACTGTTCGAACGTTTTCGATGACGGCTTGTCGGGAGTACACAAGTCCACCAATAGTTTCATAACACTCTAATCCAACTACGGTGATTAACGTTGGCACTTTTAGCTCACTTGCTATTTTATTAACAATAAATATTGTTCTAGACGCTCACATATAAACCGCCAATTGTCCGTCCGTATATTAAATTCCGCTATTTTACCAATCGACATTTTTTTATTTATTTTATTTATAATATGCACAGTGCACACGTAAGTTCAATCGTCGCCACTGAAATATATTTGAATGCCTATGAGAACTATACACAATAATGCAGCCGGGGACAAAGGAAACGCACGTACTTCGTTGACCGTTTATTCCACAATGAAAGTACAAATTAATTACACCTACAATGTAATCCACATAAACAAATCTACCCTCATACATCACATATACCAGCAGTCGCGGGTTCGAGTCTGGGAGCATTCGTTTGTTTTATAAGCACGAGTGTTTGTGCTCCAGTCATGAGTGCTTATATTTATAATATGTATATATTTTAAGTTATATATGTGTAGCGTATCAACTATCTAGTATCCATAACACAAGCCTCGTAGCTTAACATGGAACTAGATGGTGCTGTGTGTTAATGTCCCGACATATTGATAAAAATGGTGAGTGTACAATGTAAAACTAAACAATAAACTAAACATTCATACTGACATAAATGTGAAAGTAGCTCTATCTGTTACCTTTTCATGCTTAAACTGCCGAACAGATTTCAATAAAATATGGCAAGGAGTATAACCTTGATCCATATCACGCGAGCGAAGCCACGGCCATAAACTAGTAATATTTTAATAATAATAGGTGATTTTAAAATATTTTTAAAAGTAACACCGTACGACATAGCTAGTTTTACTATACTACTTCATACATAATATACCATATCCTTGATTAAGGGCGGAAGCATCTAGCATATAGTCTCAGAATAGGATGGTTTAGATGACATAATATTCTATTGATTGTGGAATAGAAATATTAAAAATTGTATTGAAATGGCAAATTAAATCGTTATCATGGAATCACAATATGACATTCCCCACATATTTTATTAGATTTTTATTCTTCAACGATTACAGAATAATGTTGTACATGGTCTGCCTGTAATATTCCTCATTCATTCAGACGAAAACTACCAATCTCTTTCATTCGTGTCTTCTCCATTCTACCTGACATTGGCGAAGTAAAAACTCAACTGGCTTTAAAGCCATTAACAAGATAATCGAATTGAATACAGACGAACATATAACCTTCTTCTTGAAAGTCAGTTAAAAAGAAAATATTACCCAAAAAATGTTGTCTAAATATCACTTTATTATGGTATCAAGCAGTTACGAGGTTATTTAATGATAACTAAGTGAATC